GGCAACCAGCAGCTCTCTGAGGTCTGCAGCCCGCGCACAGGACAACACTTCACAGGCTCTCCTGGGAGGGGCCATGCCAGGGAAAGGCCAAGCTGGGTGTGCTCTCATGCTCAAGGTGTTTTCACTGAAGCTAACAGACCAGTTTTTCCATCCCCTAAGGTGTTTCTGGCTGAAAACGGTTATTTAGCATGATATCATCTTGCGTGCAACAGAAACAAAAGAGTACCTAAAGTGTACACATCCCTTCCACAACCTGATTGCCTCAGGGTTTCAGGAGCATTTACTGAGATCCTACATGTGCCTTGTCACCTAAGAGCAAATTTCTGAAATCTTCACTGTAACTAGCATCACACAAGGTGCTACAGCTTCCAGTCAGCAACCACAGAAGGATGAATTTGCAAAGTGAATTCTTTCTTTCCTCCCTTTTTTCCGAGCGTAGAAGGCATTAATGGCACAAGAAAATGATGCATTTCCCCCATCATCATTCACTTAATTAGTAAAAACTATTGCTGTTATTAGGATGGTAATAACTAATTATTTTGTCTTTCTAACTTAATTAAAGTTCAGAAGGGGGAGAACTCTAGGGAACTTTAAGAATAATGAACTTGTGTTACAGTATCACAGTGGGTCATGCTTTCTTGAATCTGTTAAACAAGAATCTAAATTTGATTTTAATCTGTTTAGATACAGCTGGTGGGATGAGATTCCAATCAGCAGCAGCACTTACCTCTGAGGAGTTCCTAGTTCCAGCAAACCATATAGGCCTAAAATGGGTTTGTCAGAGCCACTGCCCCTCCTGTGCTGTTCTACCCTCCTAAAGATCATGCGGCTGCACTGAGCTGCGACAGGCAAACACCCAGTGCAGCGGTGAGCAGCAGTGATACTGATTGTTTTTTTAAAAAAAAGGCATGAAGACAATGAAAAGTGGGACATGAGCTTCCCTGGATGCTCCTTTTTTTGTTTGTTTGGTTGGTTTTTAAACTCATGCAAGAAGATTCCCAAATGAACTCCTCCACCAAGAAAAGTCACTTCAACTTCTGAACAAAAATACACATGCTGAAACAAACAGAATCTGCAACAGCAGATTCAACAAATCTCACAAAGAAAAACAGTCTGCCTAGAACAGAATCACAGAATAGTTTGGGGAAGAGGTGACTTTAAAGACCAAACGATTCCAACACCCCTGCCATGGGCTGGCTGCCACACATCAGATCAGGTTGCCCAGTGCCCCATCCAACCTAACATCCAACCTTGAATGTCTCCAGGGAGGTGGCATTTCTCAAGTCAGCCTGTGCCAGTGCCTCATCACCTTCTGAGTTAAGAATTTCATCCTGAAATCTATTCTTAATCTCTCTTCTTGTAGTTTAAAGACTGAAGTTCCCCTAGTGCTATCACTCTATCAGACCAGGTAAAAAGTCTTTTTTTAAAACGCCTCTTTTAAATACTGAAAGGCTGCAAAGACGTCTCCCCAGAACCTTCTCTTCTCCAGACTGGAAGAAAAAAGTCAGAACTTCCTAGTGCAGGAGTAAGCAAAGGAGGGATTAAAAATAGCGTCAAAAATGAATGGTATGCACTGAAGGGTATGTTCCTGTAGCAAACTGAAGTGATAATGGAATTTTACACTGGACTAGGAAATGGCTCACTGATGAAAAATAAATGCCGAGACCTTTAACACAAAGAAATGTCTGTGCGAAACTGGGAATATTTATTTTGAGAAAGGCAGCCCTGACTCTCATCAGATCATTTAATTCTATTTACCCAGTGACTATCACATTAAATAATCCAGTTAAAAAATAGACAGAAGTAACTGGGTAGACTTACTCTAAAGTAGAAGAGATCAGTTCTCAAAATGTAAGGCTAAACGAAACAACAAATTAAAACATACAGCATAATATTTCTATTGCTATATATAACGTTCAATTATTGAAACGCAGTTTACATGGCCATTGCTGCCTCTGCTTTATCAGCCTTGTCCTTCCATCAAGGGTCCAGTAGCTGTTTGCAAGTCATTTAACAATAATTCACCAATGTTACCACTAATAAATGCCATCAAAAATGTTTCCAGTATCACTGCTAACATTTCCTTTGTTAAGAGATCATGAATTTTGACATTCTAATGCACTTCAGTTGCCACAAAGTGAACTGTCTTCCCTGAACACAGATTTTGCATAACTGACAACCATGTGAATCAACATCTGCAAAATATTCCAAGGAGATACTTACTGTTATGCTCCACATTTCAATAGAACCCTACCTGCAATTTATTAACTAAGCAAAAGGAAAGGAAATGGTAGTGCAGCCTTAGGACATGACAAACTGTTCAGTGGCAACAGGTATGAATGAGAAAGTACTCAAACTTTGCCACCAGAAAGCATCTACAAGCATTTCCAAATGAGAAACAACCTTTCATTTGACCGTGTTATCCAACATCTATGAAAATGAAGCCCCTAAACACACCTTGCCCCTTAAGATCTCACACTTGCAATATTCTACCAAAGCATGTGGCTCATGATGAAGACATTAAAGGTCCTTTATTTAAAAGAGGCTGCCAACTGATTAGCGTTCATTGATTAGTCACCCTTCTGTGATTCTGTGAATTTAGTGTCCAAAGAAGAGGCAAATAGATGGCAGAACATTGCTTATCAAAGCCACTGTCCAGTTTGTGAAGATTGTGTACCACAGTCAGAAACCTAAATCAATAGCTTCCCTTGCTTCATCTCAGAGTCATTTTCCAATAGGTAATATTTTAATTAGAAATATCTTAACAAAATATCTGAGTTAAATGATGTAGATTATTCACAAGAAGAAAAAAGATAAGCAAATCAAGTCCCTTATTACTGCATGGTTGCTGCTACACTGTTAATTTATATACTGCATATCATTTTACCTCCTATATTTTCCACAGGTGCAGCTACTACAGGAAGAATAAGGTTGATTGTGTACTGTTTTCTAAGAAATTATTTAGTGCACACAAGTTTTTCAAACAGCTGACTTCTCAATAGGCAAATACAGCAATCAAACAGGTACTACCTCCACAAGAAACATGTGTGAAATTCCCAGGCTTCAACGTACATAATCATCTTTGCAGTCTAAAACCATGACCTGATCAAATCTCTTGCGCCAACTGAGTCTTTTGTAGTTGTGGTAATTAATGCCTTTTTCTATAAATGCTACAGAGAAGATTTAAAAAAGAAAACAATAAATAAACTTACACAGGAAAGTTCACTTCAAATAACTCTATATGCTCCATGAAAAATAAAAAAGATGATGTCTACTTGAAAATTGCATGACAACACACACTCTTCAGCAGGTCTAACCTGTGGCATCAGAAATTACACACACATTAAAAATATAAAGAAGGGCAATCAGATTATATGGGATGTGTCCTGTTTTGGTCATCATATGTAGATATTTAGAATTTAGGCAAGGAATTAACACTTCAAACATCCTATATACCATGACTGAATGGTTAATTCAAGCATGTGAATCTTCCACATCCATACATCCTAGAATTCAGGTAACACTATGACTGTGCAACAGTTCTACCTCCCCAAACTCATTTTGCTTTCGTTTTGTCCTCTATCTGCATGATTACTGGAAAGAAAAAAAAAAAACAAAACAATAAAAAACATACAGATAATATATTTTAAATATAATTCTGGAAAACAGTATTTTAATTTGAGGAGGTTTAGTACACTGAAAAATTCCCATGATGGGAGTCATACAGTTAATAAATTTGCCTAAACGAAATTATTGTTTAGTAACTGCATAATGAGAAGTCAAAAAAAAACCAAACCAAACCAAAAAAAAAAAAAAAAAAAGAAAAAAGAAACCAACCCAAAAAACATTTGTGTCCTAGGACACAACCTTCCAAGCCAAGCCAATGCTCTTTTGTTAAACAGTCAGCTGCTGCCAGATGCTCTGGGTAGGAATGGTCACAGATGGCCAGTTGTCCAGTTAACAGACCAGAATGCTCTCCCCTATGATCTCCCCTAAAATAGTATCTCAACTGTATGCAGCAGATGAGAATTATCTGATCACGGTCAAGAGGCCATTTGACCCAGCTAAGACCACAGGTCAATGCTGATAATCCAGTTCTCCATGTTACCCCTAAGAAAACTCTCTCAACGTGTTTCAAATGCTTCACTTATGCTGATTACATTATAGGTCACATCTTTTAAATTAAAAAAACGCAGCTTTTTATATATAAACAGAAGCACCTTCTCACAAGGAGTGATACCAACACACTTGAATTGATATATAAGGCAAGAGCTACAGGAGGAAACAGTCTGATGATCAACTGAAAGACCACAAGGGGACTGCTCCATGCTCTAATATTTGTGTTTAGTTCTGCAAATATTTACCAGTACTACTTAAAATACAAAGGAGAACATGCAGAGAGGCTACTAGCTAGTACCCTGTGCATGTAATTATCCCATTAATACTGGAAGGTATTTTTATTTCATTTTATTGCAGTATCCTAGTGATATTTTTAGGAATTTACAGTAACGTGTCCTATAGCCATGCTAAAGTGAGCGATGCTTGTTGGGCAGTATAGCCATGGCAAAGGCTACCAATAACAGAAACATAGCCTAGAAACACCAGAGAAAAAACTTTGGTAGTTTGTGTTCATCTTTCACTGTTAAGCTAGCCTGAGCACAAATACCCAAAAGCTGAAGTATCAAGTATTAAACTGAGTACTAAAAAGATGGGTATTTACCAACTACCAGTTCTGTCTCTTGTGGCATGCAGCTGGGTGTCCTCCTAACTTACACAAGATTAACAAGATCTGGTTATGTAAGTGTTGCACAACATACATTTAAGGATAAAGAATAGGATTATCCATCAGTGGTACAAATCCAGTTTAAAAAGTTTATTGCTAGAAATATAGATGGCCAAACCTAATGCAGTAGCCTTGTAGGTCAGAAGATTTAAGATCCCTAAGATGTCCTTCGAATTTATTGCCTTCAGAACAGTTAAGAAATATGTTCTGTACTTACCTAAACCACTGACAGTATACTCAAGATCACTGGCATCCAACAAAATCGGTCCATTTTCCTGCTGGCCTTCTTCCTTATAATACAACTTGTACCCTTGAATAGCTGCAGTGTCATCAGAGTCCTGCTGCCACTGAACTGTAATGGTTGTACAATTTATTGGTTCCAAACGCAGCTCAGGAGATCTTGGTGCTGATTTTAGAGAAATATACATAATATTATTATATTTAAGAATAACAAAATCCTACATTAAAATCAGAATGCCCATCAGTCAAAAGTTCACTCAAGGTTTTGATTCTAGCTCACTTACATACTTACCTACTTAGTTCCTTTTTAGGATGTCTGATTCCCTGTAGCTAATCTAAAAGCATAATTTCAGGTAAATTAAGAAATAGCTATTTTTTAATTCAGCATCTAAAAAAAAAATTGAAATAAAATCTATTTAAAATTTTTAAAAGTATTTTCAATTTCTTTTTCTCTAAAGAAAATGAGGATAATCTAGAGTCTATAAAATGATCTCTTGCTTTAAAATAAGCCAGAGTAAATGTAAATAGCAATCACATCACGCTTCATCAAGAGATAATAATTTGCAATACTAGTCAAAACTCAAATTCAAATGAGATGGATGAGGATTAATCTAAGAAATACTGTTACAAATTCAAATCTATACCTTTAAGGCACTCATGCAAAACGAATGCTCTTCTATACAACATTGGTAAATAATAATGTAAGCCAAAATTCAGCTATAACAACTTAAATCGGATTTCAAGTCCATCTCTATACTCAAAACTTTGTGTTTTGTTTGTAGAGCAGACACGTGTCAACTCAGCTCCCTTGTGCACCCATACAAGCTACCAGCGTGAAATGTCCTGATATGAAGAAAAGTTTTACTCTGGACTGCTATCTTTTTGGGTTTGCTTGTTTTTTATTAAAATCGTGTGGAACAGAAGAAAACCATGTTATCACTGGAAACAAAAGCTAAAAGCTAAAACATTTTAATTAAAGCTTCCTACCACCGTATCAAACAGGTGAATATCAGCCTGTGACCAGAATCAAAGATCAACACAAAAGTAACACGTTGGCTTTTCTTTCTGCTGTCACACATAAAGCACATGTCAGATCCACCTCTCAACAACTTTTGATCCTGACACTAAAATCATAAGCTTGTATAGATTACACATGAAATCATAGTTAGAACACTATTCCCCTGTATCCCTAGGATAAGAACATGCAATGGAAAAACTCGTTTCACATCCTTGTGTTACCTATCAGAAAAACGTGCAGCCTTCAGATGAAGCCCACACTTGGCCCCATCAGTTGGCAGTGGGTGACATAAGCATTATTACCTTTCACACTTGTAGCTTTTGGAGTTCGGTGGGAGGTCCACAAAGATGCCTCTCCCCAGCCAATCCTTGTTGCAGCAGTAATACGAACCAGGTAGACACTGTCAGGCCGCAGCCCTTCAAGGAGGTACTCATCTGAAGTCCCTGGGAGCTCCAAGACTTGGATTTTGCTATCTGTGCTGAGGCGGAAAGACAGACGATACAGAACCACCTGGCCTCTCCTGTATTTTGCAGGAATCGGCAACCAAGAGATAAGAATATCTGTAGGACTCCGGCTTGTCAAACTAATTTCAGGAGCTCTCAAGGGAACTGAAAAGGAAAAGGACAAAAGTTTTTGAGCTCCAGAAAAAGAAAGATGTGACATTCTCATCTGACACCTTAACATACGGTGAGGTACTTGTAATAAGCAGTTTTATAGATTCCTCTTTATTTTAAGAATAGCTTGACACTGCTCATGCTTCTCAATCTTCTGCATACAATATAAACTTAGCAAGCTCCTTTCTGTAAAGCCTTCAACATTTTCTTCTCTTACTGCCAGCAGAAATTGATGGCAGTCAACATCTTACTGTTCTGTCAAAGTGACTGTCAACATTACATGCAGCAGCTGAAACTAGGAGTCTAAACAACACCCAGTAATGCTTAGAACTCTGTGTGTGCTTCCTTCCACCATGTTATGAGTGCAGTCACTTCTGGCTACGTGTTGTGCTTTAACCCAGCAGGTAGCTAATCACCACAGAGCTTGCTCACCACCCCCCTACCTCCCAGTGGGATGGGGAAGAGAATCAGGAAAAAAAATGAAGTGTATATATATGTATGTATACACACTTCATTTATATCTATACACACACATATATATAAATGTTCATATTTATGTATATAAATATATATAACTAGTGATGCACAAGCAATTGTTTACCACTCCCTGCCTAGCTAGCACCCCAAGCAGCAGAAGAGAGCTAGATGAATCTCCTTCAGAACTTCTTCCACATGATGCCTTATGGCATCAACTATCCCTTTGTTCAGTTTAAGTTAGCTCTCCCAGCTCCTTGGGCCTTTCATTGAGAATGGCCTTCACAGAATCATAGAATGGCTTGGGTTGGAAGGCCAATCAAAGACCATCTAGTTCCAAAAAAACACTCACTTAAATACAGCGGTATTTATCTGTCTTACCATCTTCAAGGGTGTGCTGAGTCACATGATCTGACATCTGACTGGCTCCAAGAGGCATGTAAGCTACAATATAGAAGGTATAGTTGCTGGCTGGCTCCAAATCATCAATAATGTAATGAGTTGTATCATTTCCAATGACCACTTGGTACTCTTCATTGTTTAAACCTGGCATAAAACAAGGGTTAAACAAACAAAAATTCCAGGTCGTCTCTGAACATCACAGTATCTGGCTGTGAGATCTTATAAAGTTATTTCGTTTTCTTACCCAGCTTACCTCTATTATTTCAGCCTCCTAAGTTGAGTTCATTTATGCATACGAGTAACTGTGTCTTACTGTGATGTAGATAATGGTGTTGCAGGATTTTCCTGAATCAGGAACGCTGAATGCAGCTCTAAACCCCTTTTTAAAATTAGTCACAACAAACTGCGCCCAATATACAGTCACACAACAGACAAGCTCTAATAGCCTTATAATTCAGAGCAAACTTCTAAATCTGTTTGTTTAGAGTCAGGAGGCTTTTTCAAAACCTGTTTGCAGAGCCTTACTAAAGCAGTCTGGGAGGAATGCAAAGGCTCTGCTCCATCAGAACAAAACAAAACAAAAAAAAACCCAAAACCCAAACATAATACCCTCCACCCCCCAAATAACACAAAACAAAGAAATTATTCAACAGAAGGATCTCATTTTAGCTCTGCAAATTCTAGTACATCTGATTGACACTTTTTTTCTTTAATTTGGAAAAAAGCCAATAGGAATAGCCCAGAATGAGATTCAAAAGTGTTTTGCTCCTTAATGAGTGGCTAATAAAAAAAAAAAAAAAAAAAAAAAGGCGAGAGAAAAAGAGACAGGAATAAAAAGAAAAAATTCTCAGCAATTCTCATTAAAATATGCATAGCAATGCAAGCAGCAGTTCTTGTCTTTGTTGGGCTTTATTCCTATAGAGGAAGGCTATAAAGTAGAATAAGTGTGGTGAAAGCTGCTGTGTTAAGGAACAATTCACACCAAATGCATGTCAACTTAATCAAAACTCTGTAAGAGCCAGCTCCTCCTCTTCACAACTGAATTTATAAACAAAACGAAAGGCAAATTCCAGCATTAAGTTTTCCCACATTTATGAATTAACTTGATAGCATTTTAATTAGACAAGATTACAAGCATCTCACAACAGACTAGTTAATGGCTTGTTAATTAGGAATTGCAAGGCACGATTTCTGACCTGCTAAACAAGATCCTTGAGCTCAAATTAAAAGGACTTGTTCTCTTATTGAATGGATTGCTAGGCCTCATGCAGAGGCCCTAATGAAACAGCCATAATAGAGAACAAGGGTTGCCTTCCACCACAATCACTGTTCCCTTTGTGCCTTTTCTGAATTACTAACAAGGAATTAACACACTCCAACATGCACGCTCATCAGACCCTTATTCTTCTTGCTACTATGACCCCAATTTGAATGTAAAATATTCTGCTTAAAAAAGAACAAAAATTAAAACATAAAATAAAAACACCACCTGTTGGTTTCTTCAACTAACTTCAATAAAACTTTTTTTTTTTTCTTTTAATTCAAACAGGGAAGAGGACCTGAACCTGTTTCACAGTGAAACAGCAGAATGCCTCTGATGAGGGCAGTGTCCTCTGCAAGATCTACAGACTGTCCCTTAGAGTGCAACCATTCTCAGGTGAGTGCAGTTTCATGAGCCTTTGAGCTCCAACGCTCAAATTTATCCATTTTTCTATGATTCAATTAAAAAACAAACAAACAAACAAGTTTTTAAGTCCTGATGTCACAAAATTGTCTTGAGAGATTAAAAAAATAGGTATTAGAGAAAGAAAGTTCAAATAACTGGGGTGGTTGGTTTTTTTGTTTGTTTTGTGTGTTGGTTTGGTATTGTGTTGTTTTGTTGTTTTTTTTTAAACTAAGCCAAACTGCAATCTCATTTCACAACATACATACATGCAACAGCCTTTGCACAAGCAGGCAAATGAAGCAGAGGCTGCAAAAGAATTTTGCAGAACACAAATTTCAGAAGATACCTCATTTTCACTACAGTGAAAGAGTACTTCCTGCACAAATGCAGGCTTCCCTAAGGACAATTTCCCAGTTTTCTTTGAAGTTACCCAGTCTCTGCTCTCTGCACTGGCACCGGACATACAATTACCCAGATAGCTTATCTAGTGTGACTTTATTCATATTAGCTTTGAGTGGGGGCTGTGAGCACAATACCTCAGTGACTGAAAGTGTAGGGGGTAATTTCCCGCACCTCTTGTCCTCATTATCTTTTAAAACTCTTTCCTTCCTTCCTTCAGACAAAATTCTCTTGTGTACTGAAAAATCCCACTTGCAAAAGCAAAGGCAGCTATTTCTGCATCAGTATTAGAGTAATTAAGCTGTCCTTCCTGTCCTCTTGCTTAGCAGATGTCAGACTGGTATTCCATACAGAGCTGAGCATCTGCAGTCTTGTCCTTGAATAAACGGGTTACTGAATAGAAAAGAAAATTAGTCTTCCAAGAAAACAGAGCTCCGTGTAGCATAAACATTAGTTTAAGCTACACACCAAAGAAATTTTCACGTCCTTTGGCAGTTGCATGAAAAATACCTTGCTTATGAAAAGTATCGGCTTTCTATCACTGTAGAGATTTCCTTAACTTAAAGCACATTACATCGCACTAGGTGATTAACAATGTCTAGTTCCTCAATTTTCTTTTAATTTACCCATTCCCTTTTACATAGCTATTTCTACAAAATTTAAGAGACCATGGCAAACCATTCATGGCTGTTTCCATAAAATTTAAAATTTTGAATAAATATTTCTCATTGTAGGAAAGCAAACCTTGTTAAGTTAGTACTCTAAGAGACGATAGTTAAAGCCAATAATGTATCAATCATTTTATTCCAAAACATACAAAAGTCTGTAAAGTCACACGAATTTGGTGATCCACACATAGCAGCCGAACCCAGGGAAAAGCTGCTCACTACAACCCCCGGATGGTGTCCTTCCCTCCCAAGCACACATGTAGAATTTCTCCTTGAGAACAAACAGGGAAACACAGACAATAGTAGGTAGGTTCCAGGTTTTAAAGCCCATTCCTGACTTCAAAATCTGTTCACTAGAGTGATCAGACAAGGTGAGTTGGAAGAACACTCAGCCTCACAAATGAGATGATTTGGCAAAAGCATTTTTCCCCCATGCATGTCAGTTGGTTACATTTTTTATGCCAATATGCTCTGATGCAGCCCTAGTTACGAGCCATTCAAATTTGGCAGCCTTTGCAAGGACATTCAGCTCTTACCATTTATACGTAGTATATGGATACACTTTAAATCAAACTGCTTACCTTCTGCTTTCATGTAATGCACAGAATATGCAATCACTTTCTCTGAATTATAGAGTGGCCTTTCCCATGCCAGCAGGATCGCTGAGCTTGACATCGTTTCAGCATGGACGTTATAAGGTGCACTGGGTCTGTCTTCCGACATAACTACAGTAAGCCTGGCTCTGGAGAGCACAGATCCCTGACTATTCTCAGCCATGCACTGATAAATGGCATCATCTTCAGGGATGATCTGGTTAATCACCAATTTACTGAATCCAAAAAGAAAATAAAAGGAAAAAAGAAAAAAAGAAAAAAAAAAAAACACCAAAAACTTAGCTCTACATAATGCAACATCAGTTATATTTGCCTCATGAGTTTAAACAACTTACACTTTACAAACTTTTCAATTAGAAATGGATGTGCAGTTGTGAAATTTCACAACCTGAAGCGTAATTCAAAACCTCCCATGTCAATATTCGTGTTTATTGCTGCAAAGCCAAACACGGTGAAAACAAATACATAGATCTATTCCTCCCTGCAAAAAGAACAATCTTAAGGTTGTCATTTCTTAACATACTTTAATATGAGCTGTTCAGTCCACAGAAGGGCTGAAATGGGCCTCAAACAACTGGTAAGATTCTGGTCTCTACTACAGTACTGTAGATCCAGAGTGACTCTGGTAAAATCACTTCAGTTTCCACTCAGGTAAGGCAGAGATCATAAAATCTTCACTGATGATTTTGGGTATTTACTAATCTGTATTTCTTCTGCCTGGGAAACGTCCATAATGCTACATTCAATGCCCAATTTGCATTTATTTAGTTATACCTTGTTTGGCTGTATTTAGTTAGTGACATCTCAATCCTCAGTAAGGGTGTTTATTCTTTACAAGCACAGCTCTCACACAGCAAGTGCAATCTTACCTGTTGTACATTTTAATTCTACCATTGGAGTGTATTCTCCTTCCATTTTTCAACCATGAAATTTTGGGGGCAGGAATTCCTTCTGCCTGACAGGCAAAGCGAGCAGTACCAGCTCTAGGCCTTGTTAAACTCTCCGGCCATTCCACAAATGAAGGAGGAGCTACAGGTAAGTAACAAGCAAAAAATCAAGCTTACATAAATGTCAGGACACTCAAATTAAGAAAGAATTTTCCTACACACAAGCCTCTTTCCTCAAGCTGCTTAAACACACACACACCCATGCAGAAAGCACGTTTCATATAAACAAAGTACACTTGTTTAAAAATGAATACTTTCTGCACAAAAAGCAACACTGATACACATTCTGGTTTATGCATTTGTGAAGACAAACAGCAAATTAAACTCCAGCCTACAAAACATCATTAATGACACACATGGGTATATTACATGTTTTTACTTTGTCACTGGATTCTGTGTTGAAAGTCAGTCTTCCAGATGTAGCATTGCACCTTGCTGTCTCTAAGTGGAAATGAACTGATAGTTTGTAACTCAGACATTCAGTATTTGACATTTCTCATCTCACTGACGAAAGAAGGCTGCCACAGCTCTATTCCACATTAGCAAGCTGTCATAACCCTAGGTGCACTTTATTTGAGAGAAAAATTCAACCCAGTGCATAGCACAGCTCAAGACAAAAGCAAGATGTTAAAACATGGCAGAAGTCAAAACAGACTCACCCAGCACAGTGAGAGTTGCCATTGCTACTGTGAAGTTTCGTGTGCCTGGAATAGTGGCTCGACAGACATATACACCTGCATGCTGCACCTTCACATCAGAGATTATGAGGTTCCCATTTCCAAGGACACGGGTATTGAAGACATCGATGGACTTATGGTCTATTTGAGACAGTGGGAGAAGTGTGGTCACCAGGTTGCCCAGCGTATTTAAACAACCTAAGGAAAGTTGCCTAGATATCCAAGGCATGGGTTAGAGTTTAAAGGTCAAAAAAACACAAAAGGAAATCACAAATGAGTTTTCAGAGATTTCCATCTTGCATTTGCTTTGCTCTTAACTGAAGGTATCTGATTATTCAGATGGCTAGGTTACAATGCTTAGTAATTTATAACTGATATTTCCCATCACAGCTGAAAACTAATGTTATTTTTCCAGTTAGCCTCCCTAATCAGCTTGCAGAAAGATACAAAGATATTACTACCAATGTCCACATTATCTTTACAATCAGGGATCATCCATCTCCTAAATAGTGTTTGGAATAAAATGAACATATTTGGTTACCATGTGTTTTCTTCTATTTTCTTTCTACAAAAAGCGCTTAGGCTGTTATGTGATTATTTTCTTATTTGTTTGCCTAGAAGAGCTACGGAATCATTCCATGACTTTTCCGACTTCTAGAAATAAAATATAGGAAATCATCTGATGATTTGCTTCTACAGGTATAGTCCTGACTTTCACATTTAAGTACGCGTCAGGAGAAACTGAGGCAATTTTGACAGAAAATGTGACACAGTGATGAATGCTATTGATTTTATTATTGTGTTCCCTCTCTTCTTTTTTCCTTCTAGTCAGGTTATTAAGAATCTGACTATGGCTATTCAGAATCTAAACTGCCCACTCATACAAGTCCTAAAACCCACTCACATACTGCTTCTAAGAATAGGTAGAGAAACACTTACAGGATTATTTTGTGGGATGTAGCCACTCCAATCTTCACTAACCCAACCATCATTCTGTTCTGACTGCCAGATCCCTGGAGGTCTCCACCCCACCAGGCACCTTGTCCGCTATGCTCTGCAGGCAGTGCAGGACTGACAACAGAAGCAGTTGAGTCCTTGGAAAACCTCAGGGGTTCTCATCAGCATTATGGAAGTACTTGAGTGAAAGTGTTTCACTCACCCTACCCTAACCTATTGATAGCTGCCTATCTACTACACAATACCTCAGAACAGGCACCAGCTGCTGAAATCCTCCCTTTCCAATTTCATTTCCTCTCCACAAGCTCAAGATTGCGTTCTGTAATTTTAAGACCTACCTAACCGGCTCCATGAGATGATTGGCTTTGGATTCCCTGTGGCTACACACTCCAGTACGACGGTTTGATGAAGAGATGCTGTAACATTTTGAGGACCAGCTATTATGGCTGGTTTGTGAAAAGGCTTTAAGTCTGAAGCTTTGGAGAAAAACAAAAATTTAAAAAAAAAAAAAAAAAAAAAAAAAAAAAGAAAGTAAACACAATTAAACAAATAATAAATCATATATGAATAAAAATGCGACAATTTAAAAAATGATGCCTAAAATTAAATTTACACTAAATCCTTTTTTCAGTAATTGTACACGAAACAATATTTTAGCCATGGGATCTGAGCAAGTAAAACTATTATTTTGGTGAGCGGTTCAGAGGTAATTACTGCTCCTTAATGCATCTAAGTGTTTTTGCTATGTTAAAAATAAGGCAATAATGTTGTGGAAAAATCTCACATGCTGAGTACCTGGAATAACATTCAGCGTTGCTTCAGTGCTCTTACGTCTGCTGCTTATTGTTGTGGCAACACATCGGTAATTTCCTGCATCCTTCTGTTCAACACCATAGATCTGAAGAACTCCTGTAGGTAGAGCAGTTATCCTGGCACATAAACAAAAAAGAAATGTAGATAAGTGTTCCACCAGTGAACAGCATCATGGAAAGGAACATTTTTATGAACAGCCATTGCTATACTGACTTGGGAACAGCAGGCTGGAGACTCAGAAACACTCTCTATACATGACTCACTTTCTGAACTACAGGTGAGATTCCCCCACTAACGCCACCACAAAAGCAGAGCAATCTGTGTACTTTTACCTAGCAGATCTTTCTCAATTCTCAGAAGCAAACATCCCAATCTTCTTTAGGCAGATACCACATCCATGTTACTCGGGTTGGTCAGTTTTCATAGTTTCTGCTACAGTGGCACTTCAGGGTATGCAATTTTCAATAAACCCACCTATATTTTTATAATTTTCATGTTTTTAATTTATACCTTCTTTTACCTTCTTTTGCACACTAGTTCCACATTCAACAAGTTAGGTGCCAAGAAGAATGGAAATAGGTTCAGTGGATGCAGTATGGACAGGGAAAATAGCTAGAAAAACGGGCTGTACATTTCAAGTTAATCAACTCAAGAGATGAGTAACCTTATGAAGAATTTACCTAGCATGAAGTGATTTAATTCAGTTTAATTCAGTTTTTTTGCACATGTAATTCTTTACAGATGTTTACTCTAAAAACAACAAAAAAACTGAAACACACAGGTTCAATATTAATTCTTCTACATTGCATCTGTGAAAGCAAACTCATTAATTTAAACTATCTGCCCATTAAAACTAAAACCTAACCTATTCTACATCCCGTTACTCCCCACCCCTGAGAATGTAAAATTTTCCATTAACAATTCATAGACCAACATTCATTCTGTGACTCTATTGCATCTACAATAGCAGATGATTCTGGTCCATACTCATAACATCTATTCAAAATTAACTATCAACATAACTATTGCTAATAATTAGACTAATTAGTAGTTGATATAATACACACTTAGAACCTTTTTTATGTACTGGCATTACAAGTATTCAGATATTATTTTGTATCTGGCTCAGAATTATCACAGAGAATGTCATCCTGAAATGGCTAAGTCTACGTACCTGTCCATAGATAAAGGCAAAGTTGTTCGATTCACTTCCCATGTCACAACAGCAGGAGGGTTTGCTGCTATTTTACAGGTAAATCGAGCTACTCCACCTTCCTGAACCTCAGTTGAAAGCGGCTGAACTTCAAAAGCAGAAATGGCTAAAAAAAATAAAAAAATAAAAATACAAGGACATATAACTTAAAGGACTGAAGCGTGGAAAAGTTCCTAGATAAACTAACCTCCAGATCACAGATCAACTTGAAGAAATACCCTAAAACACTTCAAACAGTCCACTTTCCTACATGTAAGGAAACACTGACCTAATTACCTTATTAACTTTGTTCAACATCATGCTTTCATTAGTTGAAAGTATACTTAGCATAATTTCATTTTAACTCCACTCATTATAAAAATGTTTTAACAAACAATAAAATGTGTCTCTAATAGAATTAAGTGTACATTTGTCTGGCGTGTAGCAAGAAAGCACACTAATTATTAAACTATGGCTGTTCACATAAACACAAATAGTTTGAGACCCACTGTACTTCATTAAAACAGAAAAAAACAACAACAATAACAAAACTGCAGAAGAAAATTCCCAGAACATTCAGTTCTTGACAGTCGTATTTCAGTCCTTTAAAAACACTCACTTTCTTAAGAGCGTTTGGAGCATTGTACAATGGGTTTGATAGAAAAAGAAAGCAAAAATTCAAAACAATTGGAACCAGGTATTAACACTTTCATACCAAAAGTCCAAGTGTTTTCCAATATAATTTCAAGCAGTTAGAACTTCAGGAGTTCACAAAACCGAGCCAACTGCATTGGCAGATCAATAAATACCTTCTAGCTAGCAGAAACCTAAGAAACTAATCAGTAGTTGGAAAGGAATACAAAAGCTTCTAATTAATTGCTCTATTTACTGCTACTCACTACATAATTAACACAAAGAGCAGCTCTTCAGAGGCAATTCATTTTGGATATCTCACAACATGAGTAATTCCGCACACATCCCCACTCCATGCAACTGCACAGGCAAAAATCTCTGCATAACCTCAATGGTACTGATGTGTTTAATATAGGATTTCAAGTACATTTCTACTGATGTATAAATTGCAAAAAAAAAAATTATGTAACAGATCAATATTAGTAAGTTAACCATCTCTTAATATTTAAGCTTTGTGTTGAAATAATTCCTCTACTCACTTCACTTTCTTTCAACTGTTCTACCTCCTTTTTATTGCAATGCATTCTCAATGATGCTCTTCTGCACAGAGTACACATGCAGCACCGATGTTCACCAAGCATTCTAACAAATGCTCCCTCCCACCACTACTACCCCACAATCTGATACTCTTCCATAGCATAAAAAAATCAAATTCTGGAGTGCGGAGGAAATATGACATCACCCAATTGCTTTCTCTCCATGCACAAACTAATCCCTAACATAGGCCTAACTATCCTATTACTAGTAGAGCTATTTAATACCTCAGGTCAGAGTAAATCCTTCTTGCACTGCATTCCAGTAGTTGCACAAGCACTACAAGAATTAATATTCCTAATCATACTGCCAGAGCCCAAGTGTTGCAGTGCTGCGAACAGACCTCCCAAAGACTGACTGACAAGTCAACCAAACCACCATGTGTAGCAAAACCATCTGAAAGCAGCTACCACAGCAGATACCACATGGTGCAAACACTATGGCCGTTGGAAACAAGGTCTTTCACCCCAGATGTGATACAGACTGCTAGGATGAGTGCAGAAATGCTCTGGTATCCACAGTCAGCCCCATGCTTGGCTGTGGCTTTTAGGAACAGGTCTCCACAGCCCCAGCATACTCTGCACCCTCACTGCAGAGAGAATTGGACTCACCTGCAGAATTTAACACAGTTAATTGTTCCAGTTTCAGTTACTTCTCTCAGTTTTGAACAGTACCAGATTCATAAATCTCATGGTTAAGTCCAAATTAACCACTCTGTTTAAAGCAAACAGAAACCCCACAGCCTGCATAAAGCTGTCACAACAAAAGTTGTACATTTGAAGCCTGCCAGGAGATGGGGTGGAGATAGGATGAGGAGAGGAAACAGAACACTTCTCTTCCTAACCACGTATTTTCTTTCAATTGCAAAGAAAGCATCATAAGAAAGCATTATAGTTCTTTGTGATTCAGTGCAACTCAAATAATCTGTCCATGTATCAGATTGTTCCCATAACTCTGAACTTGCCAGCTTTGTTTTCTGCTGAATTTAATGCTGTCCAATCTCCTGCCATTTTCCACTACAGAAGAGCAAAATAAAAGCATCCAGACTTGTCTTACATCCTTTCCTTCTCATCTGTCCCCATCCCTGCCTACACAGACAGCGTGTGTCCATCCAGACAGGCTGCAGAGTATTCCCCCAGTGCTGTTCTCAACAGATAGAAATTTCTAAGAGAACGCATAGTGCTTTGCATCCATCACATATTTAGTGAAAGCATGACGTAGTCAGCCAGGCAAGCCTGCTTAACTTTCAAAATAAAATCTTGTGGAATACAAAAAAAGTATAAATGATGATAAGAACCACACAGATCAACATAACGCAAGCCTCAGAATCACTGATATACCCTCATATATGGGTATATGATATACGTGTACAATATATAGTATGACATGTGCTACGTAGTATATAGTGTATTACATACTGTATGTTATAGCCTGTGTATGCTACACGGAGTATACACGTATTTATACATATCTACAAACAAACATTTTATTTTTCAATGATTTATTCCAATGCATCCTGTAAATTACAGGATAAATCACAGGGTGAAGATTAAAGTCAGAAGCGATCTTCTCAAGAATTCCTAGAAACAGTGGACAATTAGTAATTCACAGAATAATGCATCACAATAGCAAGTAAGAAAAGATTCAGCCATACTGTTTAGAAAATCTAACATTAATTGAGGCTGATATTTAAATAACATTTTTCTATCTGAGCAAGAGAAAGGCATTTCCTCAGAAATAAAGTCTTCAGTGATAGCAAAATCAGAATTTCAGAGAACTGCTCAAAATCTTCAGGAAAAAAAAAATGTCATTAATGTCACTAAAAATGATTGTAGAAACAAACAATTAAAAAAAATCTCCATTTGCTTCTCCTGATCAATTTCAATTTATACACTGTTTGTCAGTCTAACTCAATACTTTTTCATTCTGCATCTTGTTTCCTTATGCAAATCTCTGGTTCCTTCGTAATTTTGACTTTATTTGTGCCAGTAAAATCTATTTTTACAAGTCTATTGCTGTCTCGTGAAACCTGACCTCTTTGTAACAGGCTTGTTTTCATGGCGAGTGCTGACACCAACTCAGAACCCCAAGAACAAGTCATTAAAGCAGTGCTGTTAAGAGGCCAGAGTTCTATAAAATGGATAAGAAACAAAGTCTCAAGAGACATTGGTTGTTCCCAAAAGGAACCCTGCAAAACACAATAAATGTAAGTGCCTTTTTATTTGAGGTTTCCCCCTCTTCTTCAGTCTATTTAATCGTTTTGTTCTCAGATTTATAGCCAAAAGAAAACAATTAATGTTACTCCAAGAAGCTGGTGCTCCCATCTTTTTTCTTTTTTTTTTTTTTAAACTTCTATGATCCCAAATGCTGGGCAGAAAAAAAGAAAACAATAGAAAACATATTTACTTTTAAAATCTCTTGCAATTCAAGTGATGGTAACATATGTTTATATAGTTACTTTTGAGTATGAATATTTTTAATTATATAAAACACACGTGCCCAGCAAAGTTATCCTAACAGAGAGAAATAGGAATACAGTTCTGTATGAGTTTCATCACTTACCATTGTAAGCAAACGCTCATAGGCTCAAAAGACAAATTACTTGCCATCACATGCTGATTAAATGTTAGAGAAACACTGCTTCTGTCTTCTGTGATATACATGGATTGAAAATACATTTTCCATAAGGAAAAAATTGTTTACCTAAACAGGTTTAAATAGACTTACCAGTTAAAGTTACATTACAGAAAAGTGAAACATCTAAAGAGATGCTCAAGCTTCATACCTTTTTTTGTTAAAATATAGCAGTCCTTTATTACTATTATTTTAATATTTCCTTCACTCCTGAAATGACACCCCGAAGCTCATTCAAATGCAAGTTCAGATGACTTTAAATGTTCCCTTTCATCTTGCACTTTCCACCTGTGTACTAAAACCAGAGGCTACGGCAGGTCAAGGCCACCTTGTGCCTTTCTGTATCTAGGTGATTTCTGAATGAGTTTGCTTGAGGTGCAAAAGAAATTCCAACAACCTACATATTTATTGCTTTCAAACCTTGCTGGTTTCTTCACACATACCAGCTGACATTGACCCAAGACTGGAGCATAATTGTATAATAAATAAGTTGAAAGCAAGGAATTGTACTGAAATTACTCCCTGAACTGAAACAGCAGCAGAGTTGAGTATCATCTATCCAGAGAGCAGCAAACATTGTGAAATTTTTTCAGTATAGATACCAGCTACTTCAGTGTTTCTCAGGAGATAACAGCCTCTCACACAGATGAACCACTTGGGTAGAAAGAACAAAAATGCACAACACCATTTGTAGAATTGATGTGTTGATGGTACAACAGAATTACACAACAGACTTAACCTGCAAATGAAACCAACCTGCTTTGATTAGTACTACTGTTATTAAAAATCCTTGTGTGGAGAGGCTTCACCTGGGAAAAACAGGCTTGTATGCTGAAGAGAAGCTATGACTACTTCCCAAGCAATGGATTTCAGGACACCATGTGATAAATTGAATATCAATTTTTCTCTTCTTTTGATCTCGTTTTTGTAGTGCTCTCTCCCACAAGTGTTGAAAATATTAAAACGTATTAGATTTTAGCACTGAAGCCAACTAGCACATGCCTTCCTTGAACAAAGCTTAAAAACTGATTATGAAAGCTTTGCCATGCCTGTTGGCTATATGGACATGTATTTCCCAACTACAAGCCACTAAGATGGCCTCTGCATCTGGATTTGGATAAGGAATAACTTTTATACGAGCACTGACAAACATCCACGTGTAGCCATTCTCCCCATTTCTGATGAAGCAGTTTGAGTAAATAGGGCTGTAGCTGTAGCCAAGCAATCTAACGGATGAATCTTTGCTCAATTATGCAGGAGATGCCA